AGCATTTAATGGTAAACGTTCTGACCAGTGGAAAGAAGCCATGAAGTCTGAATACTCATGGAAACTAGTACCTCCATCTGAAGGAAAGAACATTGTTGGATCTCGCTAGGTCTTGAAAGTCAAGCGTAATGAAGATGGTTCCATAGATCGTTTCAAGGCCAGACTTGTAGCACAAGGTTATTCCCAAGTCAAAGGTGTAGATTATGAAAAAGTATTTTCACCAGTGGCTCGTTATACATCTGTGAGATCGTTACTTGCCCTAGCTAACGCACAAGATTTAGAGATACACCAAATGGATGTAAAGACTGCTTTTTTCAATGGTTTATTAGATTGTGAAATTTACATGTCACAACCCGAAGGATTTGTTGATCCTGACAGATCAAATCATGTTTGCAAACTGAAGAAGAGCATTTATGGACTTTAACAGTCAGCTCGTTGTTGGAATTCTACCTTGGATGAATATTTGAAATCAGTTGGCTACAGCAAAAGCAAGGCTGATGAATGTATTTATGTGAAGTCTGTGAAGGAAGCTAATGGCCACATCAGCTTCGTAATACTTGGTGTGTACGTTGATGACATAATTCCAGTCTCAAACGACCCTGCTATGCTGAAAGTAGAGAAAGCTGCATTATGTGAAAGATTTGAGATGATTGATCACGGAGAGATTTGTTATCTTCTTGGTTTGTCAATCGGGCGAGACAGAGAGTCGGGAACATTAACAATAATAATAATATGTTTCTTTTACTGAACAGCATAATCATCAAGTGGGAGTGTTAGGATTACATATGATAATTAATGCTGTTCATGAATTATCTATGACACGTGATCTACCGCATATATTAGTTCCGTTGTTGTTCTGGTTCATGTTCGTTATTTCCCTCGCTGTAACTTACTTCAGAATAAATCTAGCTTTTCTAACAAATGTTACGGACGTTACGTAAAGTCTGCAACACAAATTCAATGTGTATTTTCTGAGGAAAGTTCCAATACCTAGATAATAATTTATTGCCCAGTGACAGTGTAAGGCAGAGGTTATAAACACATACTATTATATTAATTGTAATATTTTCTTACAAGTTAAAACTTTGTTTAAAATTTCCTTCCAATTAAGCACGTGGACAAGATGCACAAGATCTCAGTAGTTTCAAACAGTTTATTGTCTCGGGTTTCTGTTGGTATAAGTTTCATTTTGCAAAATTCTATTTAAAAAAATTAAAGAAGTTCCATTTGAACATCAAGATACTAGCACTATATAAAATCTTTCATCATTACAATTATTATTATTGCAGCAGAATAACCTGGATTATCTTAAATCGCCAGTCTTCCCTTTATTCATTACCAGTCCCCTATACTTAATTTTGCAAAAACATGCACAGAATTGCTATTTTAGCAGGGTTTGAGTTGTTTTCATAAAGTGCTATTGGAAATATTTGTTGACAAGACAAGATTTAAAGCCCACCTGCAAACATGAGCAGAAACCTTGAAGGGTACACAGGCTAACAAGCACCTAATTATTTTTCTGGAAACTCCTCTACTCTGGAAGGTGGTTTTGACTCTGACATGAAAAGATTTGAAGAATGAAAAGGAAAAGGCTACTTCAGGAGCCAGATAACAGCAATATGATTTGAGAAACATCATTCTTGAGGATAAAAAAAGGAGGCAGATATGTAAGAGCACCAGGGAAGCCAAATAACTGTTATTTAATGGTTTGTAGTAGACAGAAGCACCACACGATGTACAAGCACCTCTTGAGTTTAAATTTCCCCACAGGATTAATTTCTCCTTGTCAACGACTATATGCTGACTTAAACTGTTAGCGAAACAAACAGGTCTGCAGTACAAAGTTTAAGTGGAGAAGAAATTGCACCTTGTTGAGGGAATCGACTTTATGGAGATTTTTTCTGGGTTTATAATTGCCATGAGCATCCATTATTTGTCATCACTTAAAGAGTTTTGGAAAGACTATTATGTTTTAGGCACCCTGAATTTGCAAAGGTGATGCCAAGATACAGACTCCTGGATATAATTATATATTTACATCTGAA